AAACAAATAAAATCTATAGAACATTTTTTGCTACACCACTCTGTTTTAATAGACTTTCCACAAATGAACTAAGTTCAGAAAACCACTGTTTGTTGCCTACTTGATCGAATTAGATTTCAATGATTTCATTAGTAATGAATTTTGGCGAACACCAGGACATTATAATAATTTTTAGCCATTGAACATAATTAATTATCAATGTAACAAAATTTGATGTACCGTAACATTAATTTCGGAGGTAAAATCACAAAAAAAGTTTGATAAGAATACAAGTTATTAATTTTCTCTATTTTATGTAAAGTTTTGACGGTAATAAGATTAAAGGCCATTTTCGTCAATGAGTTTGGCAGTGAGTTCATAAGCCATCCTTGTAAATTTACTATGGCACCGCAGACTTACAAAAGTCAAAACTTATGACTAAAAATAAAAAATTTTGTTTCAGCTACGCAGGTATTTGCTGCCCAGACAACAAGTTTACCACTACGACAGAAAGAGTAGAAACAACAACAGGTGACACTGTTGCCACTACGATAGAGATAACCACAGAAGTCTGACTAGATTAAGGTTTATTTGCTTGTGTCTTGTGTATATTTGTATCTATTTTTTTAATAAAACTATTTTAGAAAGTTGATATCTTTTAACTATTAAATTATTGTTAACGTATAAACAAAATGATATTTAAAATACAGTAGAAGCTCGTTTAGAAGTCTCCCTTGATGACAAGTGTCATTTTCAAATACACTTGATTTTATAACACCCTAATCACATGTTGATGTTATTGCAAAACCTCTACAAGAATGAAGTTCCTAAGACAATGAGTGAGAGTAAAGTAAGGAAATGGGTTAGGGAGGGTAAAAAGGGCCCTGAAAGTGTCCATTATGAAGATGGCTCGGGCCTGGCTTTGAAGTTTATGGAGAAGGTTGAGTGCCATAATTACAAGAAATATTGTTGCTTGGATTCACAAGTGATATGAGACACCCTTGTTTTGTCTCCAGCAACAATTTGATTCAACATTTTATCCCTTTCTTCCTTGTAACACATTAAAAACCCAAAACACTAACCTTTTACCTTTGTGGTCTTCTGTGAGAAGTCTGGGAAGCCACCAAAAACACAATTCCTTCCAAAGTGGACATTTCCTCGGCCATTTTTAAACTTTCTAACCGATCTAGCTGCAAATGTTGCCACTCTGTTCACAAATTTGATGAAGCCAGTAAGTGACGAGTTGCCTCATTGCGGCTCACACGTGAACTAAAGAAAAACTATAGGCTACGCACAAATGGCCCTTACTTAAAAAACAACCCATTATGCACATGCATTATGATTGTGTTAAGCACAATACTACAGTAATTTTAAATGCAATCGTTAAGTATCCAGAGTACTGCCCACTGTTAAAGTACTAAGACTGTCTTTTTTTGTAGCCTAATATTTGTGAGGAGGATAGTTCATTGATCCCATTTAAATAAAGAAGCAAGACACAATTCTCGATCAATTATATTTTAACAAACTTTGATAATACTTCTTTGGAAGCTTCCACCGTTTGTTAAAAAGTCCGAGAGACAGAACTCTAAGATATTTCCGAGCTGCCATACCAACCGGAGCAAACATAGTTGGATGTTTGTTTTGTCCACGGACAAAGTACACTGTTATAAATTACTGATTCCTTTAAACTGTATGCGAAAACGCCAACTTTTTAACCGAACCAAACTGAAAGGACTACTTATTATATACAAATCGTCATCAATGTTTAGGCTACATTTCTGTTGTTTACAAACATAGCTTAAATACCGTGTAATAAGTAGCCTTTTCATAATGCACTGATAAAATTTTGAGGTTAGCGAACCGAAAAGTTTACCATATGATCTTTCCATTCCCCATTTTAAGTTACCCGAAAACAATGATTTTGCTGACGATTTAGAGAACTAAAAACGGCTGTTTTCCAGACAGTATGATGAACAATACATTTTAAAGATGAATTGTACATTATATTTTGTCTACAGTACATTTGTCTATTTACTCGAAAGAGATGTTTCTGATGCTTTATTTACATTGAGAAAATGTGTGTGTTTTAATAAGAGGGTTAAGGATTTTGTCTTCCATCTTCAGTTAAGAGTAGTGTGTTAGTGGTTAACCAGTATTTGATGGAGATCTTCTTTCCTTAAAAATAAATAATCCACTCCAGGATAATCAAACCTGAAACAAAAAATTGAAAAGGTGCTTCCTAGATCACAAATGTAGGCCTGTTTCGTTTCACCTTTTCATTACCTACGGTCTTTGTAAACTTTGTCTTTTAAATATTACACTTTCTCTGTAGGCCCTAATTGAATAGCTTCTGAAGTATTGAATTGAATCAGATGTATTTGATCCTGTGAATTTTCCAAATGGTTAGAAACTTGACCTAGCTGCTGTCCTTGATTATTGGGATTTTAAAAATTAATCCGAGCGAAGAAACATTTGATCTTAGGCAGTAAACAAAGCTGTCATGTCATTCATTCAGCAGTCTCGTTAAATAATCATCGCCTTGATAGACGCACCCTGATGTTTGACAGTGTCATACAAATTTAATATTATCCATTCGATACACAGCTACGGGTTCATGATTGCAAGTACTGTAGGCTTATAGTCTTTAGCCCTATGAACACCCATAGATTATTCATCAATCTAATTAACATATACCTATTTTTATCATGTTTCATATCCTCATCTAGAAAACACAAAAATCTTAATCCTGATCAAACAAGTTTGAATAAGAACAACCTGGCCAGTCACACACCACAGATCACACAAACAATACAGCCCATCCACCTCATCAATCTTCCACCCAAACTATCCACTGTTAATTTTACAGCGGCCTCCCTGATTTAAACCTGTTACACACCTAAAATCTCTCGGCCATTGATCAGTCAGCCTAATGGTCCACTCTACAGTACTATGGTCCATGCACAAAATTTAGGTGGGCTATTTTTTGTTTCGAAGTTAGGGTTGGGTGGGGGGGATGGAATCTCTTCCCCTCAAATCGTCTAAATTTTGTGAATGGCATAACTTACAGCTCCAGTAGCCAACTTTTAGGTTAGAGTAATGTCTTAGTCCTACTTTTGTAAACTTTATGGTACGTAGTTAAAATACAATTTATTAGCCTAGGCCTACGCTAGATTCGAAGGGATTTTCAATTTTATTTCAAAGTATTATTTGAAAAACAGCTACAGCTTCAGTACCGGTACCGGTACCTAAAAGTATTAAATTTATCTAACTTACCAAGTTTAACAAATTTACATAGATAAACATTTATATTATTCATGAATAAACAATCAAACTATTGATAAACAATGGTCTATTGGTCTGGTCAACGCAATTTTGACAGTTGTCATTACATTACTCTTCTTCGCCTTTTTATTTCCAGCAGGAGCAGAATGCACAATGTACACAACATTTTGACAGCCGGTGGGGCACACGGGAGGGATTAAGGCTTACATATTATCTTGTAGTGTCAGCGTTCGCCGCTAGAACTGCTAAGTTGAAAAATTTTAAATTAGTGTTTTTTTTTTAATTTTTAGTAATAAAATTAACTTTTTAATTATAAAATATTCTTTTAAAATTATAAAATTAATTTTTATTATTAAAATTAAACTGTCATAACATAACCTAACCAACCAGACTTGCTGATAATATAAAAACTATATAAGATAAAAATCTAATTAATGATTACTTATAACTTTTAATTAATTATAAAATTAATTTTAAAATTTAGTATTATAAAATTAAGCTGTCATAACCTAACCTAACCAACCAAACTTGCTGATATGAAAAATTTGTTGACAAAAAGTTAGTCAACGAGATTCGAACCCGGGACCTCCACAACACCAATCCGAAAAGCTACTAACTATGCCACGAACGCCGCTGAAATCACATCCTTTCGTTACGGACGTTACGGTAATCGTGTTGCCTCCATTGAGATATGGTTGCCTCCAGAGAAGACATTAGCCACTAGAGATATGACGTCACTACACTTTAGCCTTAGTCCCTCCCGTGCGCCCATTCCTTTTGCCAGCTGTCCTCCATAGAGGCTTAAAACTGTAACAAACAATCCCATATAGAGCATAACAAAGCCAATCTAAGTCCAAAATGGAAGGTAGTGGGCGTCGATTAAGGATTTACTGTGCAAACCACAATAATATCATTAAAATACGTAATCAATAGCAGAGAGTAGTACGAGCATACTCTAGCATGTTATAAGGTGACAATATCAAGTTTTATTGTCACAAACGTGTTTTTACTTAAGACTTTTACTAGTTTTCATTGTTTCGTCCTGCGATTATAGAAACATCCGTGACCATTTCATATTTCTTATTAACTTTAAATTGCAATTAAATTCACAAAGTCTGCAATACACCTTCAATCAATTTTAAATGACACTTGGTTTTGCTGCAGTTCTGCGGTCATGGGGTAGTTCCACCTCCAAAGGGCGGGGGCCACTGTCGGGTAATTTGGCCTAGGGCCAAAATTAATAAGTTACCGGTAATAAGAAATATGAAATGGTCACGGATGTTTCTATAATCGCAGGATGAAACAATGAAAACAAGTAAAAGTCTTAAATAAAAACACTTTTGTGGCAATAAAACTAGCCTATTATAATTGTTTTCAAGTATGCAAGTTTCTAATTAATTGTAAATCAAACGAATATATTGTCACCAGAATATGCTGCCAATCACAATACTTTTCTGTGTTCAGTTTTTAGTTGAATAATTATATTTAAATGAGGAGTTTAAAACAAGACAAAAACTTAACAATGATAGTTCAATTCATTACAAAACATAAAGTCCCTATTTCCCGCCATTGAGTTTCTGTTACGACCCAGTGTTTGCGTTGGCAGGGAAATCCTCGTCATTCGGGGAAATTTCGAGCGGTGAGATTGGCAGTACCGCTAACAATCAATGAAAGCTCAGTTCAGTAGTAGTAGATGTCATGTCAGTTGACAGAAAAGCTATACTCCATATAAATTACAACCGGTGAATTGCACGAAAGGGAAAATGCGGATAACGGGCAACATATTTGTCGAACTCAGGTTTTGGCTTTTGAAATGAAAGATTTCTTGTGCTTTAGGTTATAAATGTAGATAAGGTGCTTCAAGTAGGTGGTGACCACGGGAGGATATAGGAAAAGGTAAGGTCTGCTAATGTATTTCATTTGGGTATAGCATTTGTACCTTTATTTTAATTTACGAAAAACATTATGAGATTAGCATTCATTTTTGGGTAATTTTTAGTAATAAATTAAATTTAATTAGTCATACCTATGTTTATTCTGGGTAATTTTGCAAAATGAAGGGAGAACATCTATTATTTATTAGCCTATTTAGTAAGTGATACATCATCTAATATTTAATGTTGCGTGTTTTACTTATATTATAAACTAATTGTTTAAAAAATTATTATTAGTCTGTTAATTTCCTAAATATTTTGCTTAATGTACCGGTACTAAACCTTATAAATCAGCATAAGTGTGGAATATTTATTTAAATTTTTTTTTTTATTGTAGGCTACGGTTCTTTTGGAATATACACGTAATACAAATGCAAAGATTATTTTGAACCATAGGCATGTAAGGCAAGAATATCATTTTTATTTATAAAAATAAATATTGCAAAAATGTCATTTATTGTAAAAAATCATGTTAAAATTAGAAAACTTTGTGAAAAAATTACTTTAGCTCAACAATCTTTTATTGATGTCGTTATTTAAAATATACAGTAATGTAGAACTTTCCCTCTTAGCTTGTATATGTAAACCAAACTTCACTATGGGTCTATACAATTAAAAATCACTCTGTGCCTATTTTGATTTATGCTCGTTCACCGACATTGATTGATTGCGTTCAATATATGTGGCAGCGACAAAACAGCTGATTTTTCAGCTGAATTTATTTACCAACTCCATCGAACCCTTTCAAAACCCCAAGAAACCACAACGATTTTAACAGCACTAATAGGTGGTTTAAAAAGTTTACTTAACTAACTATTTACCGGTTGAAGAGAAATGTGAATTTACATAGATTTTATTAAAAACAGTTACACACCCACTATATGTCAACACATCTCAACCGTGCAACAACCAAAACATGTTATAAAATTCTTAGTTTGATTTATTCAGTACCTGCAGAATACAGATAATTAATTATTGATAACTTCATCGAAATTCTAGCAAAAGTATTTTGTTGCCATGGAGATTAGTCAATGTTTACTTTAAACAGAGGATTGCTGTAGGTATTTGTTTGTTTTGAGTATTACATAGTATTTTCATAGCCCTTGAAAATCGTGCAACTCAATAAAAACGAGTAAATAAAAACAGAAATACAGAGAGAAAAGAAAAGGGAAACTTAGTTTATCAAACACTATTTATATTTACTACAACAAAAATGCTTTAGCCTATCATATAGGCCTACAATTTATCGATGCAATTTTTCTCGTGGCTTGTTACTATAATAGTCTGCGATTACCTTTGAGCCAAAGTAAAAATAATTTGACAGTAATTTGGCTCCCGTCAAGATTAGATAAAATTGTTCTGTTGACGAAATTGTAGCACTTGCCTACATTACGTTTGAATGGCGTTAAGTGGCGTGGAATTCGGTCACAAACAATAATTTTAGTTTCTATTGTAAATTGTTCTATTGAAAATGTGAAATGGCATTTCAATGTAGGTGTTGAGTGATTCTAAAACGAACGAAACGAAACTTTTTGATACTTTACGTTTTGAAAAGTTAAGTTTGTTCATATATTTTGACGATTAAGGAGGCTAAACCCACTGACTATACATTAATCATCCTTAGTCTGCGCTAAAACATAGCAGTATTCGATAGTGTAGTGTGGCATTGTATGATTATTTAGAACATCACATAAAATAAATTGTAATCTACATAGTAAATAGAGTTTCCCTCGTTGTCCGCGAACACGATAACTCTAGTAATTAAGGTCCGATTTTGATACAATTTAGCACGAATGTGTAGCACGAAGACCGGAATGTTATGGGGGTTTCAACATTTTCCAATTTGGTTTTTCAAATATTTATATTAAAAAAAATTGTATATTGAGTTTTTGTAGAGATACTGGTTGCGCAGAAAATTCCTTCCTTGTAGCAGCAAATCTTGGTACTAATTACATTTATTGTTATTTAAATAGGGAATAAATCAGACAAGTTATCAAGACGATTGGAAATCAAATCAGAGAAATGGTAACTCTTAGTCTTCAGGATTGGTGTGGCGGGGCATTTTTGTTTTGGATTCTGTGGAACCAATTTATATAATATTAAATGTCGGTCAAGTGGGTTGTCGATCAAGTGACTAGTCGGCCAAATGGCAAACGCCCTATTTTAACAACAAAGTAGTCGTTTGCTGCAACGTTTGATCTTACAAGTCTTTCATTTTCCCACCTCTATCACTGTAATTAGTGTTAGTCAACGAACTGATAAAAAAAGGCTGGCAAATTGTTCTTAAATTTCCTTCTAGTTTTAAAGAGAGACTATAAATGAATCAAACATGAGGTTAGATTAATCAAAGTTAACACGTTCTTGAAATTTAACACCTATCTATAAATAGGACCTAGGGTTATTTTAACATTAGGATAAAAATGAAATTACATGAAAATAAAAAGGAAATAATATTAAATTTCCCAACTAAAAAATACAATTCATGGTATTTTACATAAATGATGATTTACTGATTTTATAAATGATGAGGCTACTCGTATAAAGAAATAACTTAACACTGGCTACCAAATTAAAGTTGTGTTGTTTACTTGCTTATGCTACCTTTTGCTTTTTAACAATGCTTGTAGACATTTCTATGGTACATTAGACATTATTTAAATGGTAAATTTTGTTTTAATCTTTTAATTTGATTATTTAACTGACGAATGGTCCGATTATTCGGTGTTAACGTGAGACCTACTGGGGATAGGATAAGGAGATACACTTTCATAACACCATCAACTCTAGAATAATGAACAATATTCATCTATTATTGACTTGGATTTGGGGCCATAACCGTGAAATCGAATTTATTTTTTCATTAATACACTCATATTTTAAAGTAACTATGATCTACTTCTATTTATACAAACATCTTATACAAGGATTCTGGCAGTTCTGAATGTTTAGCCAAGGTTTAGCGCAACCACTGTTCTAAGAACTAAAGCCGATTTCGCCAAAGGTGTTGCGTCCGCTTATGTTATTTTTACATTATATTTCTGCTATTTCTTCTGTATCCGTAATCTTTTTGTTCTAGCCCTGACAAGTGACAACCTTATGCAACATATTCTCAGTAATCTTTTAATTCCAGTTATCCATACAATAGATTATACAATATATTATAAATGCATAGTTGTACATAACTTACAGTAGTTAAAATACTTAAAAAACGTTTTAAATCGCAAAGAATTTTAAACTATGTTGGTAGCTTGAGTAAACAATAGTATATTTCGTACCTAGGGCCGAAAATGAAGTATTGCCGGCTCGAGATAGTTTTTAAGTTCGAGACGAAGTCGAGAACTTAAATCGATCGAGAGCTGCAAAACCATTTCGGTCCGTGGTACGAACGCTATTTTTCACCACACTATACCATATTACCACTATTCACCACTATAATAATGCACACTGATAGTCAACACAACTACAACTCTAAGGTTACGTGATGAAATAATTTGAGGAATCAGCCAAAATAAAAATAAATAGTTGCTAGGCAACGGTGACAATAACACAATTGTATTGCAATGCTATGGATTTTGATTGTGTATTTAAAATGCATTCATGTTTTAAGTAAGTAAGCGGAAAGCTGATTTTGCAGCCCCGGCCTGTAAAAACCTGCTCGGTCCTCAAATTATGATGACAGATGGCATGGCCAGCAAAACGTAACCAATTAACGTATGTAATACAGCCAAAAACATCATAGTGTGGTGAAAAAGTTTTTTTCTATCTAGCTAAAATCAATACAGTTTAGTTCACGGTGATTTATTAAAGCCACTAATTTATTAACAACAACAACAACAACAACAACAACTGAGCAAACTAGTTTTTTAGTAGAACTCAAAATCAAAATTTGGTAAAAAGATTGTTTTCCAGTATCTACGAATCACTCCATTTTAATCGGTTACACCTTTTTAGCAATGCCAAATAAAATATTAACGCCATTTAAAGTATTTGAATTGGCTTTTGATGATTGCTTCGATTGTGTATTTGCAATTACTTTTCGTGCAGTAAATAATGCTCTGATGGAATTGTTTATTCCAATTCCATAATAATAAGCTGAACAAATAACATCGCCCGTCCATAATGCAATTCTATAATCAACGATACTTGATCAATGATAACGTAGGTTTCATTTCCTCTAGTATCATAGTCAGTCATGTCGCTCTCTATTATTCTAATTCATAATTAACATAGTTTAACCGTTGGTTTAAAGTTGCACTAAATTTTTGTAGTTTACCTTAATTTAAATTCGATTTAATAACAAACTATCAAACTTTTTTGGTTGAAATAAGATAACAGGTTTGCTGTAATATATTATCCTAATAGTTCTCATACAAACTTTGCAACTACTAAACCACTTGGGATCACAAATAACGATTTACCTAAATCTTGCAGAACGATCTTTTCAACATTTTGTTAAAAACGATAATGAATTTCAATATTGTCGTATTTACCTTATCTTCTCTTATATAGTAACCTATGTTAATACTTGTACGGAATATTGTAGCACAAAATTAAGGTAGTTCCTTATAAGGGAAATACGCTAATAAAGGTTACTAAGGATCGATAGTGAACAAAAGCACAAAAGTAAATGGTAGTAGCGCCTTCGTTAATCCGTAGTAGCACGCTAAACAGAAATGTAAGAAGATTGCATTCACTCGCTGCAGGCGCTGAGACGCATATAACAACAGAACTGATCCTTTGATATTGGAAACTGCAGTTGACTTCACATAAGTGAACCATCCCATCTGTAGCATATTTTATTTTACAGACAACATGATTGAATGCAAATTTTATACTTTTTAATAATTATTGTAACTTAAAATACTGTCGAAATCGTAAAGATTAACTCCTAATATGTTTACCATACCTACATGATATATTTTAGAGGACATACAAAAAATTGTGTACTTTTAAAACAATGAT